CTCTTGTGTCTCTGACAGATGTGGACTGTTTGGTGGTGCATCTGAAATATGTTCAGTGTTCCTGGAATGAGAGTGGGACTCCGGAGGTCAATTACACCTTCTATGGCTGGTTCGTAATCTGTGACATAACCCTGACAAACTCAAACCATAAAACATATGTTGGAATGTCTGAATGATCGCTGAAGCAATGTGTGTAATTCAAAATATAGTTTTATCCTTTTGTATTTGATATGAACATCTGATAGGATGTTGTACCACCAAGAAGACGATGAAGATAGAGCTGGCACTGATTGTTTTTGCAATCACTTTCCATATATGATCATGGTCTCCTTATATGATTTATTTGTTGTACCTGGTCTACCAACAGCAGATGTTTTTGTTTTTTTTCTGCACCAGTTTGATTTTTTGTCTGTTTCCATTGCAGCATTTCCTGTTATTACATATTATTAATGACCTTATTGGTGTATTCTGAATGTATTAGATGATGTTAATTTGTTAAACAATGAACATGGGGTAGGTGTAGGGTAAATCCTTGTCTCTGATTGGCCATTCCTGCTCAGAGCATATGTGATTGATGCTGTGATCACTCAGGAGTTAAGAAACCTCACAAGTTGCTTGATAAATGTTTCTTGTTCTTCACACTGAGCGAAGAGCATTTACTCTTGTATAACTGAAATAAAATAATAGTCTGATAAATACATTCCATGAGAAGAACATCACAAAGTAAAAGTACAACTTATTATAGTGTAATATGTTTAGTTATTCCTGTCCTCAGGCTGATGGCGTATGGGCCTTTTATGTTACAACAACCTCTCAGTATTTCAGCCGGTGATTAGTTCATGATTGACTGACTTTGTTTTGTTTGTGAATGATTATATAGTTTTTTCTACACAGGTTCCATGACCGAACAGCCAAAGAGTGCACCTCCTATATGTCAGAGAACGGCATAAACACTGGATGTAACCAGCACTATGACTCCACAGACCGGTTCAAGACATTTCACATCAAACTGGTACATGGCAACAACAGCTTTAATATGAAGCATGATCTTAAAAATAAAGGTATGTTTATTTACTGGGGTGCAACATAACATTGGGAGGTACTATTCAAAATGATAAACTAATTGAAGGAGAGATGGTTTTATTTATCGAGAGTCTTTTTTTTTTACACCTACTGGTGCTGCACAACTTTAATTTAACTCTATAATCTTTCTCCAGGAAAGGAAAAACAATGCTAGTGTTCTGACATAAAAACAGACCATAAATTCTGTGTCACTGATTGTCGTCTGTGTTGTCTCCAGTGAAGTTTAATCCACCAGCCAACCTGACTGTCCAGAATGACTCCAACTCTAACCTGTGGTTCTACTGGAACCAGACTCTTAAAAACTGTGTGGATAGTGAAGTTCGCTACAGGACCAATAACAAGAAGTGGGATGTATGCAGTTTGAAAATACACAATGTATAATATTTTTCATTATTTGTTTTATTTCCCACTCATTTATCCCACTTTTGCAACTCCATCTTATTGTCCACAGACTTCTAGAGTCAGTACTGGGAAGCAGGATTTCTGCATCAACTTGATCTCCAGCAATTCCCGGTATGAGCTGCAAGTGCGGAGCAAAATGGGAAATCTCTGTGGAGAGTCTATATTCTGGAGTGACTGGAGTGAGCCTGTGGTCTGGGGATCCAACAATGGCACAGGTAATATTGCAGAATTTCAGCTGCACAAAAAGCCTCTGAATCAATACTGACTTCCACTGGCAACCAATAGGAACTGCAACAATACCTACGGGAACAGTTATACGCTACAGGTTTTTCATGATTTACAGTCTTTAACAGTGTGCATATTCTGAAGAAAAAGGATCTTTTGATGAATTCCAACATGAGGAATTGGAATATTGTTCCCAAACAACATCAGTTTTCAAAGCTAGAAAAGTAATTGAAGGAGCCAGTAATACTTTATCCTACACATAAAAGTTAGCCTTTTTACAGTGTATGATGACCAGTATGTGTAACAGATAGTAAGCCCTATGAATTTATATGACTTTTTTACCAAAGCAAAAAGGTGGTTTTAAGAATAAGCTTTGCATGTGCACAATACAGTAAATGTACACGGTTGTGAAATAACTATAATCCACTGCTCTCTCTCCCCCTCAAAGAATCTAGTCAAATTAATAATTCAATATCTGCTCTCACCCTCATCCTGCTGGTCTAGATGTTGCTGCATAATGAAAGGTGGGTGGGTCCATAATGTCACGTGTAAATGTTGGTAGATATAAGGTTACACTGTAGTATGTTTTTCATGAATTGTGTTAGTATCAACAATATTTGCCTAATCACACTGTTATCAGTTGTTATGTTATGTCGCAAAAATGTTCAAAGGACCAGTAAATGCAGGTGATGATGGGAATAAAACTCACATTTTTCATTTACTTTCAGTCATTTGCATGTAAAAGGTAATATTTTGCAATCAAGGAACAGTATTATTGTGTAATTATATCATCACAAGATGCCAGTGACATGTTTTATGCCAAACGTGAGGTCAAGTACAAGGGCCTGCAGACAAGAAAAATTGAATCAATCACTTCGGTATCCCTAACCTCACTCAACCACAGAGCTGAAGAGCTGAAGGGAACAAAAGTAGATGAACTGTTCTTGATAAAATCATCTAAGAGTGAAAATATCTCCAATACAGGATCAGGATCATCCTTATCTCCGTGGTTCCCAAGCCATCCCCGATCTTTCATGACGTCCAGGTTAGTCGCACCCAGGTCTCCCAGTCCGACAGCGAGAGCTCCAACAGCTCCAAGTCCTCCGTCACCACCGACCAAACCGACTGATCCGTGTCGGTCTCTGTGGACAAGTCAGACATGTCTACCACCTGCTCCTCTTCCACCTTCACAGTCTCATCTGAGGAGGCAGAGCAAGTTCCCATTTCAGAGGAATCTAAGTCAGGGTTGAGTTTCCCAAAACTTCACAATCCAGACCAATTTATACAAACACATCTCCTGGATGGTTGCAAATTGATCAATTATGTATGTCCTCATATCTGCTCAAGGCACTTAAAAGCAATTGAATGAATCCAAGCTATTAATGTTAAAAATATTAAGGACTTTAGCACGATGAGGCTTTTTTAATTACTTTTGATGCAGTATCAACATTTGTATAGTTTCATGATCAATGTATTTGTTTTTCTAAAAGAAAAAGAAAAATATTATTCTAGCATGTGAAAAGTTTTAATATCTGGTATTTCAGTTTGATGTTTTATTCTTCTACCTAAATTGAGCTCGACAATATGGTTTTGTATATGTATATTGATATACATTTCACCTTTTGTAAGATATTATGTAATAAAAAATAAAAAAACATGCATGAATGCAGGATCACCCATTCTCTGACTGCTTAAACACTGAGAGACACCCAAGTGAATGAATCACTTAAATCAGTTGCACACAAAATCTGCCATTTTTATTAAACTGCAAACTTTTAAGCGTTCAGTGAGAGAGTTTTTGTTTGGTTGGAATCTTTAATTGTATTTCAAATAAACAAATGAAACAGTGATGCTTAAAAAAAATAAATTATGCTTTTTATGCACAGACCATTCATTTTATTTCCCACGCATTAGAAGTCATCTGTATCTGGTTTCAATTACATTCTACTTTTAAAACATTTGACAAAGTGTGTTATTTTACATTGCATACATACATACATACATACAGCATAAGGCCTACCTGCAGCATATCATGCTGATCTATGGCCTAATATTTCAACCTCTTCCGGTGACAGGAAACACAGAAATGATATATGTGACGCACCGATATGCAGATGCAGAAGTAGACCTGCGCCCGTTCTGAAAGCACCCTGTTTCAGTTGTCATGATGGCAACTAGACTTCTGCTTCTGCTTCTCTTCTTTACAGGACATGTGTTTGCCAAAGAACCACCCGGTAAGTACATTTAAAGCCTAAGAATTCACAATGTTAAATAATAGGTGAATTATTATAATAATAATTACTGTTTTCATCTTATTTGGATGTGCCTGAGTAGTTGGTCAACGTGCTTACGGGCCTTTGGCAGATAGAATCACATTGTTTTACATTTGAATATTATGATGTGAAGCTGCTTTTCTTGTTAATTTATTTTTTATATTTCTTAGTTAATAATCCATAATAAACAAAAACCTTTACTATGTACAAAATGTATAAGCAAATTTAACTATATTTTTAATACATTTTCTAAAAATAAAACAAACATTAAGAGGAGGGAGGCACAGCATCCTTAAAATATGATTAGCCCTAAATGTTGAAAATAATCATTTTGATTACTTGTTTTATCAAATTGTTTTAAACTATCAGTTTAACACTTACTTCCTCGATTTTTCGCATTTTGTGTAAAGTCCCTTTCAACGTCATTGTGCTGCCATTTCCGCATTGGGTGTGTGTGTGTGTGTGTGTGTGTGTGTGTGTGTGTGTGTGAGAGAGAGAGAGAGAGAGAGAGAGAGAGAGAGAGAGAGAGAGAGAGAGAGAGAGAGAGAGAGAGAGAGAGAGAGAGATAGGCTATTGGTCTATTGTTAATTGAGTACGTCTCTATACTGATTTTTGGTTTTGTTTTATTTCCTTCTTTGTACTATTCTGTTTGTCTCAACCCTCTTGTGTCTCTGACAGATGTGGACTGTTTGGTGGTGCATCTGAAATATGTTCAGTGTTCCTGGAATAAGAGTGGGACTCCGGAGGTCAATTACACCTTCTATGGCTGGTTCGTAATCTGTGACATAACCCTGACAAACTCAAACCATAAAACATATGTTGGAATGTCTGAATGATCGCTGAAGCAATGTGTGTAATTCAAAATATAGTTGTATCCTTTTGTATTTGATATAAACATCTGATAGGATGTTGTACCACCAAGAAGACGATGAAGATAGAGCTGGAACTGATTGTTTTTTCAATCACTTTCCATATATGATCATGGTCTCCTTATATGATTTATTTGTTGTACCTGGTCTACCAACAGCAGATGGTTTTTTTTCTGCACCAGTTTAGTTTTTTTGTCTGTTTCCATTGCAGCATTTCCTATTATTACATATTATTAATGACCTTATTGGTGTATTCTGAATGTATTAGATGATGTTAATTTGTTAAACAATGAACATGGGTTAGGTGTAGGGTTAATCCTTGTCTCTGATTGGCCATTCCTGCTCAGAGCATATGTGATTGATGCTGTGATCACTCAGGAGTTAAGAAACCTCACAAGTTGCTTGATAAATGTTTCTTGTTCTTCACACTGAGCGAAGAGCATTTACTCTTGTATAACTGAAATAAAATAATAGTCTGATAAATACATTCCATGAGAAGAACATCACAAACTTATTATAGTGTAATATGTTTAGTTATTCCTGTCCTCAGGCTGATGGCGTATGGGCCTTTTATGTTACAACAACCTCTCAGTATTTCAGCTGGTGATTAGTTAATGATTGACTGACTTTGTTTTGTTTGTGAATGATTATATAGTTTTTTCTACACAGGTTCCATGACCGAACAGCCAAAGAGTGCACCTCCTATATGTCAGAGAACGGCATAAACACTGGATGTAACCAGCACTATGACTCCACAGACCGGTTCAAGACATTTCACATCAAACTGGTACATGGCAACAACAGCTTTAATATGAAGCATGATCTTAAAAATAAAGGTATGTTTATTTACTGGGGTGCAACATAACATTGGGAGGTACTATTCAAAATGATAAACTAATTGAAGGAGAGATGGTTTTATTTATCGAGTCTTTTTTTTTTTCACCTACTGGTGCTGCACAACTTTAATTTAACTCTATAATCTTTCTCCAGGAAATGCCAGTGTTCTGACATAAAAACAGACCATAAAAATAAATTGGCATATCTGCCCTATTACTTTGTAATTCTGTGTCACTGATTGTCGTCTGTGTTGTCTCCAGTGAAGTTTAATCCACCAGCCAACCTGACTGTCCAGAATGACTCCAACTCTAACCTGTGGTTCTACTGGAACCAGACTCTTAGAAGCTGTGTGGATAGTGAAGTTCGCTACAGGACCAATAACAAGAAGTGGGATGTATGCAGTTTGAAACATACACAATGTATAATATTTTTCATTATTTGTTTTATTTCCCACTCATTTATCCCACTTTTGCAACTCCATCTTATTGTCCACAGACTTCTAGAGTCAGTACTGGGAAGCAGGATTTCTGCATCAACTTGATCTCCAGCAATTCCCGGTATGAGCTGCAAGTGCGGAGCAAAATGGGAAATCTCTGTGGAGAGTCTATATTCTGGAGTGACTGGAGTGAGCCTGTGGTCTGGGGATCCAACAATGGCACAGGTAATATTGCAGAATTTCAGCTGCACAAAAAGCCTCTGAATCAATACTGACTTCCACTGGCAACCAATAGGAACTGCAACAATACCTACGGGAACAGTTATACGCTACAGGTTTTTCATGATTTACAGTCTTTAACAGTGTGCATATTCTGAAGAATTAGGATCTTTTGATGAATTCCAACATGAGGAATTGGAATTTTGACAATAATGAATATCGTTCCCAAACAACATCAGTTTTCAAAGCCAGAAAAGTAATTGAAGGAGCCAGTAATACTTTATCCAACACATAAAAGTTAGCCTTTAAAATTGTACAGTGTTATTTGACCAAGCAGTAAAGTTAATAAGCCCTATGAATGTATATGACTTTTTTACCAAAGCACAAAGGTGGTTTTAAGTACATGCATCTGTTGCTTTGCATGTGCACAATACCGTAAATGTACACGGTTATGAAATAACTACAATCCACTGCTCTCTCTCCCCCTCAAAGAATCTAGTCAAATGGATAATTCCATATCTGTGTGGACCCCAGTGCTGTACGCGTTGGGTGCTCTCACCCTCATCCTGCTAGTCTTGATGTTGCTGCACAATGAAAGGTGGGTGGGTCAATAATGTCACGTGAAATATTGGTAAATATAAGGTTATACTGTAGTATATTTTTCATGAATTGTGTTAGTATCAACAATATTTACCTAATCACACTGCAAAAATGGTTAAAAGACCAGTAAATGCAGGTGATGATGGGAATACAACTCACATTTTTAATATACTTTCAGTCATTTGCATGTAAAAGGTAATATTTTGAAATCAAGGAACAGTATTATTGTGTAATTATATCATCACAAGATGCCAGTGACATGTTTTATGCCAAACGTGAGGTCAAGTACAAGGGCCTGCAGACAAGAAAAATTGAATCAATCACTTGACAGGAACAAAAGTAGATGAACTGTTCTTGATAAAATCATCTAAGAGTGAAAATATCTCCCATACAGGATCAGGATCATCCTTATCCCTGTGGTTCCCAAGCCATCCCCGATCTTTCATGATGTCCAGGTTAGTAGCACCCAGAGCTCTGTGCTGTCTCCCTACTGCAGTCATTGAAAGAATTCAATGACAAGACTACAGTTGTTGAGATATTTCAGTCTGGACTGGATCTGCAGTGCTCATATTCAAGTGTCTCATTTAGTGGAAATGAGAGCAAAACAAATAATGCGTTTTGTTTCTGTTTAAAAGGATTGGTTTCAACTCTCCAAAGGCCTGAAAGAGAGTTCAAAGGCTAACTATAATGACCGTGCCTGCCCTGTCCGTGAGTACTGCCAGGTCTCCCAGTCCGACAGCGAGAGCTCCGACAGCTCCATGTTCTCCGTCACCACCGACCAAACCGACTGCTCTGTGTCGGTCCCTGTGGACAAGTCAGACATGTCTACCCCCTGCTCCTCTTCCACCTTCACAGTCTCATCTGAGGAGGAAGAGCAAGTTCTCGTTTAAGAGGAATCTCAGTCAGGGTTGAGTTTCCCGAAACTTCACAATCCAGACCAACTTATACAAACACATCTCCTGGATGGTTGCAAATTGATCAGTTATGTATGTCCTCATATCTGCTCAAGGCACTTAAAAACAATTGAATCAATTATGAATTGAAAATGAATGAATCAAAGCTATTAACATTAAAAATATTAAGGACTTTAGTGCGATGAGGCTTTTTAATTACCTTTGATGCAGTATCAATATTTGTATAGTTTCAGCATCAGTGTATTTGTTTTTTCTAAAAGAAAAAAATTATTATTCTAGCATGTGAATAGTTTTAATATCTGGTATTTCAGTTTGATGTTTTATTCTTCGACCTAAATTGAGCTCGACAATATGGTTTTGAATATGTATATTGATATACAAATTATTTTAGCATGTTAATAGTTTTAATTTCACGTATTTCATTTGATCATAACTTGTGGCTACATAGAGACAGTACCAGTCAGAGACAAGCTAAAATAGCTTTGGATTGTCTATGTCAAAAAAGCCAAGGTTGGGTTTTCCTAAACTTTACAATCCAGATCTTCTTATACTGACACATCTTCTGCATGACTACAAGGGTCAGAAAATGGATTAATGATGTATGTATATTTACCTACACAGAGTTTTGCCTTTATCGGAGGTCTATATATTTGACTGCACTAGGAGAACATAGTGGAAGTTCCCCTCACATATCAAACAAAGGGCATTTAAAACATCCACTTCCTCTAATCCCTTTTGCTTTTGCGTCAAGCATCAAGTTTTCTGGGAACTTTGATTTTTTATTCTTCTGCCTAAACTGAGCTTGGCAATATGGTATTGTATATGCATATTGATATATAAAACATGCATGAATCATAAAATGTGTATCCAAACAGACTAGTTTATATACTGCACTAGGAATATGATATCCACTGTATCCACTCACTGGTAATATGATGGTATTTGAGATAGGACTATTGATATTTGTGTAAAGTACTGACAAAAAACATGGACAATTTTTAATGTCCATTCATTTATCCATTCATTGTTCACTCACTCAGCCAGTAAAATGACCAGTTAGGTACCTTAAGTCGTAACTCTTGGCTTTATTAATATTTCAAAAATAATAATTGACAATTACAAATAATCACTTACTAATGCTATATCTTCAACTTTGGGTTTAGCAAGTCTAACAAAAAAACCCTTTCACCATGACACCTTGGTGGATGCTTTGTCTTTTTTTTTTAGCGAGCTAGAAAATGTTCAGACCAAAGTCTATTTTTAAACAACTTGTTATTATATTCCAACTTATTAACTGATGATTACATTTATAACTGCATTATTCCAAAATAGATAAACAAACAAAAAGGGCATTTTCTTTGTCTTATTATTAAGGTCTTCCAATTGATCTTAAATGTTCATCCAAACAGATTAGTTTATATACTGCACTAGGAATATAATATCCACTCTACAGACTCTTGCACTGGCCAGTTCAAGGCCAATGTTTAAATATTTTTGATGTGTCCCTCACTTTGATTATGTCCGAAAAAAAGTTACTTATATTTGGAGAAAATCCCAATATTTTGTGCAAAAAGACCTCATTGGTAATGTGAGCATTAGTAAATAATTAATAATTAATAAAGCCATTAGTTACTAAAACGTATTTAGTCATATCAATATCACAATAGTTTCATCCCAGCCTCATAACTTTTATATTATATTTTAATCACTGTTAGAATTTTACATTAATAGGCTATCTTTATATATATATAGTACTTTTTTTTTTTTCATTTTTGTAACCTACTTACTTTACATTTCACTGTTTTCTGTCATTATACCAAGGCTGACTTTGCAGTGTACTCTTTTACTGTACTTAATCAATAAATATATAATTCAACCAAATCCAAAACATCCCACATGTCACATTAATTGCACCACCGCACTACCGACTGACACCGGTGATGCCCGACCGTCCGTTAGAGGGAGCGCGAAGTGTCCCACAGAGTACGGAACTGAGTCAACGCATTTTTCAGATTCTAGAAGGGAAGGGCGCAGGGCGGCTGGCCCCCGCAACAACGGAGAAGATACGAGTCAGCTACTTCCTTAGCTGAACCGACCAGCGCGATCAATTGATGTCTTCAGATGAGATTTTAAGACTTTTAACGTGCATTTAGTTGGTTTGACGCTCATTCGTCCGTTTTGGTCGTCCGTTTACGATTCGCAAGCCGACAACATGTCAGAGCCGTCGGTGGCCGACACTCGCCGGTTGAATTCTAAGCCACAGGACCTGACGGATGCTTACGGTCCCCCCAGCAATTTTCTGGAAATAGACGTTTACGATCCACAAACCAATGGAGTCGGACGAAACCGTTTCACAACTTACGAAGTTCGCATGCGGGTAGGTGTTCGTGCTGCATGCCGAAGAAGGAGAAAGAAAAAAAAAGAAACAAACAAACAAACAAAACACACACACACATCTTGTTGCGGCGTTAGCTTTTTTTTTTTTTTATTCGCTAAGCTAAGTGGTAATTACAGTGTTGTTGCTAGCCAGTTAGCATGTTTAGCAGTCAACACGGGGAACCGGGAGGAGGAGGAGGAGGAGGGGGGAGGAGGTTGTGACGTTCGGGGCCTGGAGTGGCCCAAGATGGCGCGCCAGTAAAAATCAAGTACCGGGGATTGTCAGCGGCCTTGCCTGTGGGTCTTTTTTTTTTTTTTTTCTCCAGAGCTTGCAGCGTTAAGTAAGAAGTTACACTGTACATAGTGGAAGGGTATTTACAGTGTAAAGCCACGCTGCTGGTGTGGAGTTAACGTTATGGTTAAATGTCTTTTTAAAGTAATTGTTATGTAAATTAAACATTACGACAACAACCGGAGAGAAATTAGAGACTCCTGACAGACACAGGGAAGCTAACCGTTACTTGCACTTAAGACTTTACCTGTCAATAAATCAGGACTAGCTAATTAAACATTGTCTGTCTGTGTGTGTAACGCAAAATACGTTTGTTAACCAACATAAAAAAAAATGCTTATAAACTATTTTACTGTTTCTGTAAACGTATAAGAAGAGTAACGTTAAGCTACAATGCTATGTAGCTAAATGAGGAATGCTAACAATGTCGGTGGTTTCTTTTTTTTGGTTTTTTTTTTTATGGGAACAGGAGAAATTATATTTTACTATAAGTTTACTGTAAGTTTGATTCACCAGGCGTCTTTATTATCTTCATTATCTGATACTAGTGTGAATGATAGGAGTAACTTCCTGGTCTCATTTTCTGGCAGTTGAGCTTGTGTAAGAGTGAGGTGCAAAAAAAAAAAATCCCTGACACAGCTTGCTAAGTTTTAAAGACAACATTTTCAGGAAGCTTATGCTAACACTGTAATTGCGTAATTGCAGCTTGCCTTGACTGGAAGTCCTTTATATCTGAGGCGTCTCCTGGGAGAGTTTGCACATCATTATCAGTATTAAAAAGAAGTCACTTCTTCATCCTAACATACACTGTGTGATAGTTTATTGGATTAGAAGTGGGGTTAATTAGTTTGCATTTGCATATCCCAATTGTGCTGTCTCACAACTACAGACAACCCTGAACAAACCAGATCAGTCTAGTTACCAATCTTCACTGAAAAGCATTGTTTCATTACCTCCCACTCACTGTCTGCAGACCGTCCACAGCAGTGAATCATGCAACAGGATCCCCCTTTCACGAACTGCTGAAACACTGAGCGGATACGCTAGTGAATAAATCACTTAAATCAGTTGCACACAAAATCTGCCATTTTCACTAGACTGCAAACTTTTCAGCGTTCAGTGAGGGCGGTTTTGTTTGGTGGGCATCTTTAATTGTATTTCTTATAAACACATGAAACAGTAAGGTCACACTTTTTATGCACAGACCATTCATTAAATTTTCCACACATTAGAAGTCTTCTATAGTGATTTCTGGCCAGATAGAATTAGCGTTAAAGGTCCTGTTTGTTTTCATTGGTGTTGAATGACCTGAAAATAAGAAGCATTATGTTTTTGTTACTTTAGAACGAGACATTTTTAATCTACAGGTGCCACTGGTTGCCTTCCATGGAGGCCGCCACGTTTACTGTAACCCAGAATGGACAAACCAAACACCGGCTCTAGATGGGGTATATTTTTCAGGCATTTTGCAGCTACTGTAGTTTGTACTTTTTGCTTGGAAGGGGAAGATGAAGTTAGGGAGTTGTAATCTGCAACTACACCGCTAGATGCCACTAAATCTTACACACTATGTCCTTAAGTTAATCTATAAATTGATTTACAGAAAATTAACTGAAAGAAGGGATTCCAGTTTGAGAATTTGTTTGCTTTTCTCTTTCTTCAAATTATTGTGAATTGAATATCTTTGGGCTTTGGACTGTTGATAGGACATAACAAGCAATTTGAAAAGCTTGGGCTCTGGCAATTTGTCATTACTGATTTTTAACAATTAATCAATCGGCCATAAAATAATGGACCACCACAGATACAATGTAGAGGTTTACACAGAAAAATAACTTAGTTCTCACCTCAAAGTCGAATTGTTGACTTTCATACCAGTTTAGTCACATTACGGCCCTAAGAGATCACGCAGTTGTCTCTCAGTACCTTAAGCACTCATCATAGTTGCCAATTGTTCAGCAGACCTTCTTCTCACTTTTCAGCTGTGACCAAGTGCAAATGATTGAATGTAGAATAAATCCATTGCTGTTTTGTCCGCCCTCCCCTTTTCTTCTCTGTGTAGACAAACCTTCCCATTTTTAAACTGAAGGATTCCTGTGTGAGAAGAAGATACAGTGACTTTGAGTGGTTAAAGAATGAGCTGGAAAGAGACAGTAAGGTGAGTGAGCAATAATGGTAAGTTTCACAGCTAATGAATGAAGCAAGCTGGCTGGTGCAAACTAATAGTTAGCAAGATCTGATAATTGACAATGTTAGTGTCACAGGTGGAGAAATATAACCCCACATAGATTAACACATAAGCAGTAGCATTACACTGTATGTTTTGTCTTCCGTATTGATGAAACAAATGCAAGTTTTGTAGTGTCCTCCTTAATAACTGTGTTGGATTAGTTGGCAGTCTCTTTTCCATTTCATATTTTGGTGGCATGTTTTTCATCTTTCCTATCACTTGTGTTGACCCCTGACACCTTCAGATTGTAGTACCATCTCTGCCGGGCAAAGCCCTGAAGAGACAGTTGCCATTCCGCGGAGATGAGGGCCTTTTTGAGGAGTCCTTCATTGAGGAGCGGCGAATGGGCTTGGAGCAGTTCATCAACAGGTCAGTCAATTCAACAGCCCAAGTTAAAATACATAGTTTGTGTTTTCACATTTGTCACATAAGAATGTTAATTTAGAAATAATGAGTTTATACATACCGTAATTTTCGGACTATAAGTCGCGCCTGAATATAAGCCGCAGCAGCTAAATTGAATGATGTGTACATATATAAGCCGCACTGGACTATAAGCCGCAGGTGTTTTAATGTTTAATTACCATTTGTAAGGGTTCGTGTACAGAGGGGATTGTCGGGAAAGAGATGGCTGCTTGAGGAAGCTGCCATTTATTAACATTTCAACAAACAATTTGCATAACGTATTCAAGTGTTACCATTTAGTGCAATAGTAGCTACAGAACATATACTGTGCTGTGTAAACTGTACTGTATCACATAGCGTTTCAGACACACAATGTCTGTCTGTCTTGCTCTCGTTCTGTCTCTCGTACCACTCTCGGTTCCACTTTTACTTTTGCGCGCTACCTGTCTCACTCTTTTCCGGCCTCCAGCTTTTCCTGCTGGAGCCCGCCGCTTGAAGTGGGGGGCGCGGACCAGTCATAGAGCCCATAGAGTTAAAGTTAGTGGTCTGTAACCTGTAAAATCCATAGATTTAGGAGGTCCCCTAGTGGCCGTTAGCTGTAAAAATCCATAGATTAGCCGCACCGTTATATAAGCCGCAGGGTCGAAAAATGGGGAAAAAAGGCGCGGTTTATAGTCAGAAAATTACGGTAATCAGTGTCATAATCCACATAATCCTCAATTGCATTTCACCAGCCTCCATGAAAAGCATTTAAAATAAGCAACTTTTGTCTGTTTGTGTGTCTGTTTGTGTAGAATTGCAGGTCACCCCTTGGCCCAGAACGAGCGTTGTCTTCACATGTTTCTGCAGGAGGAAACCATTGACCGTAACTACATTCCTGGCAAAGTACGACACTAGGGTTATTGAGGGAGGTCGGCAGGTGGGGGTTAAACTCTGGGGTGTAGGTTTGGACTTTCTCTTGCCTTTCTCCTCCCTCCTATCTTCTCTTAATCTCTCTTTCTGTCTTTCTGCTTTATCTCTCTGTCTCTCTCTCTCTCTTTCTCTCTGTGTATATCATTGTAAAATCATATTTACCTTATCTTGGAGTTAAAGTATGTTCTTACTACTATATACTACTATACATCAGGACATGTTGATAATGTTTGAAACAGCTCTGTGATGCCTCTCTTCCCTGTGCATTTGTTTTATAATTGTACAATAAGGAAAGAACCCCTTAGTAGTTGTGATTGTAATATCGTGAAGATTTGGCTCTTAAGGCCTTTACACACCAGGGATGAGACGAAATCCTCTCCTACAAATATGTCCTATCAATACTATTTGCGACCTAAAATTAAATCCACACGCACTTCCCACGCTCCAAAAAGAACAGGGACTGGTGGAAAAATGGGAGCAGCTTGCAGTCTGGTCTGTTAAGATGTATTAATACGTTAAAACGCCAAAGTCAAACAAGACAAACTAGTCGATGCAGCCGTAGACCAGCAACTCCCATGTTAATCGATGTAAAATGATGGCTTCAGTCCCCGATCTTTATCATCTTTGTGATATGATACAGGGTGATGGTGGTGCAAAAGCTTAGGAAAATCAACCCAGATCTGAAAAACTGATGTTGCTTTTTCCCTGTGTAATATTTGCATTCTGTTAGAAAGCACTCATGGCAAACAGTTAAAAAATATATATTTATGTCCGAATTTATCGCACGCAAGCACCCCCAGTGTGTGTAGCCCTTAAATCACAATTTTCAGGAATTAAAATAATGTGTGATGCATTCAGTCTTTCCCTGACGAGTGTCATATATTTATGATTGTAATATAATGTGAATAAAGTAGAATAATGTCACAACATGTGTGTTGGCACTAATGTGTACCATAGGAATACATGCAGACTGTAAATGAGAGTACTGATCCTGTTTTGTTCTCTTTGTTTTTGTTGTTCTTTTAGGTATGAATGAAGTAAGTTTGCTTTATTTTATCCTGTTTCAAGAACTTTCTGGAAGTTAAAGGAGGTTGCATGGGCACTGTAAAGACCAAAGGCGATAGTTCACAAATACTTGAGGAAAACAATGTTATAAATGTGTATATATATATATATATATATATATATATATATATATATATATAATCACAAAATAGATCTGACTGTAATCTGTGCCACACATAGTCCCCCCCCCCCCCAAGAAAAATTATGTAGTGATCATGGAGTGTTGCAAAGGAAAGAACATCCTGCAAGCCAGTTTTGCATGTAGAGAAAATTGATTATAAAATCTGATTCGCAGTTGGAATATTTGAATTGGTTGGTAATGAGTGCACTGCAGGTAATCAGCTGTGCTTCAAAAACTGGCTTCCAACACAAATCTCCACCAGTGTTTTTAGTTATGTGAACTATTGTTTAATGGGAATAAGTACTGTACATCACCAATGACTAGAGCTCTTTTTGAAACATTTCTTTCCAAACTAATTGATACATGATCGACCGCACTAATCACTGGCTGCATGGCAAACTTGCACGCTTTCTTTGCAATATATACTGTGTGTCAGTCTTGCTGACAATTTATTTTCTTGCCTCTGATCACCATCATGTTGTTCAGTCTGTTGATTCAGATCTTTATTTCCCTAAAAATTCTGTTTTTCAGACTTGGATGTCTGAAAAACAAAGCAGTTAGTCAGTAAGTAAATATTGATGTGTCCTGCATTTTCGTGTTCAGATTATGCCTGTCTCTTGCATCTGAGTCTACCAACAATGTCTACAGTTCATTAGACATAGTTTGTGTCTAATGAACCAAACTGGTTGAATTTAGTGTCCATGCACTCTGTTGCAATAAAAAACCAAAAAAACATTCCACTTACTACATAGTATGGCATATCTTTGCAAAGAAATTGACACGACACATTAGTGATACAAAGATCTTCACTGCATGATGCTTATTGGTAAAGTCTGGTGTGCAATTACCCCTCAGCTGACACCATGTCATGAACACTGCATGTGGCCCCCGTGTAATGCACCATGCTTAGTTCGTATTAGAGCTGCCATCATGTCTTTTACCTGCCTGCCTGATTGAATGAGAGTGAAGTTACATTTCCGTCCAGAAAGTGTAGTCAATCTAAGTACATTGATAGAGGCAAAGATCTGTTTGAGAAATGGGTTTACTATGGTTTGAGTAATGGCCTGCACTCCACCTCCTGGCTAAATTTAAAAATGTAATTGAAACAAACAAAGAGCAGAAGTCAGTGTGTCCAGTTTTATTCCAGGAATTAATAACAATTGTGTGGTGCTTTATGAATGAGTTTGCCATTACAGAAAAAAACACATACTTGAAATAATTTTAGTGCCCACAGTGTTGCAACTCTGTATAATTTCTTTGACTGTTTGTAGACTCTAATGCCCAAATGCCTCCTCTAACAAGAAAATGCATAGATTCCTACATACATAGAAAGTCTGAAAGTGTATGAAACATGCATTTGAACAGTATGGGCCCACAGTCATTTCTAAATATTGTGATATATTCTGGGAATAATATCATAATATTGTGTCATTACATTAGCCAGTGCATCAGTAGATTCTGTTCAATGAGACTCAGCATTGATCCATTTTAAAGCTTGAACATGTCTGTATATTATTTCTCATTGTTTACTGTCTCTCTTTCTCTCTTTTATTGCAAAGACAATGCAGACCGCTGCACCTGCCCCATGTACATTTATTTCTACATCACGTCATTTAAAAAGCTGGTGGAAATGTGAGAACTGATAAGTATCGACGGTGTAGGAAAAAACACAACTATTGCTCCTGGACAGAACTAAGAGATCCAATCTATAAATTGTTTGATGTTGTGTCTTTATTCAGTCATTCCACTTACTGTACGTACATTATTTTGATTCAGTAATCAGCGGAAAAAAAGGTTTCCATATATCCTTTTGTCATTTTGTCATAGCTAGATTTTTTTTTTTTTTTTTACAATGATTGTTTTCTATATGTTTTTTTTTTTATTTTTAAATTGATTTGATCAACTTTAAAATGAGGGTAATTTCCTGCTTTGATTAGAGTTTTCTTTTGCTAGCAGAGATGGGATTATAATGATAACCTCCCAAAGTCGAGCAACATGTAGCATCATGAAAAAGACAGTGACGTGTCATTCCAGTCAATATATTTCCCCCTGTTATACATTCTGGATTCATGCTCTTAGACAGGATTGTTTCATGATTAATTGTTTTAACTCTGCTGTCTTAGTTACATCATCATGTCTATACTTTGGCTGTGTGTTGTCAAATCAGCTATTGGGAATGTTAAGTTAGGTAAATAACCATATCTAAGCACTGTGACAAGAGGTTCATTATATGAACAATATTTCATTGTTTAAAGGCGTAATCAGCATCTGGTTTCTTGATCTGAAATAAGGCTTATTCTGCGCTTATTTTCAGCCGGTTAATTCTTTCTATCAATATTATTGTGATGTGTATTAATACATGTTATCATTGCAGTTCCACTATGGGTGACGAGGAACTTCCTTGTTAATTCTGTCCACCAATTAAATTTCCTGCTGCCTGCTGTGTCGTGTCTACATGTCTCTTTTCAGTTTTAAAGAGGAGAAGTAGAAGCAAAATCACTAAAAACTCACCTTATAGTTTTAGATCAGAGAGTCACGGAAGCTGGATGAATGGCCGCAGATTGGCAGATGATCTGTTGAACACTTTTGGAGGAAAGTGTGCAATTTTTGTAAATTGTCTAAAACCTGTTGCCTGTTTAATGAGGGAACTGAAAACGATTGGTGTGGTGAGACTTAAATCTCACTTTGTGAAAAAGCAAGGCCAGTCCCAGTATTATTTATGTTTTAATGCTCTTCTCTCTCCATATGTCAAACTAATATAACAGTGTTAAACTAGTATAACGTGTTTTTCCATGCAGAAAGTGTTGCGTATTTCCCACTTCCAGTGTTTCAAATGTGAGGATTTTATTTATTTAATTTTTTTTTTTGTCATACATAATTGTAAATTGACCAGCTTTGGGTTTTGAACTGTTGGTTGGATAAAAAAAATAATAATAATTTTAAGACACCAGCTTCAGGTCTGGGAATTTATAATGAGCATTTTCACTACTTTCTGGCCAATATTAATTCAAGAATGAAGAAAATTGACCAACAAATTATTTGCTAATGAAAATAACTATATTGCAAAGGAAGGCTACAATAAGGTATAAATTGGAAGTAAGAAAAAATAAGACCTTCTAGCGTGCCATCAGCCAAAAAAATAATCACAATCCTCTCCATCTTTTTTTCTGACCCCCTCTTTCCCCTGAATAATTTCTGTACAGTCCCAAAAAAATTAAACATTTTAGCATTTTGTGTTTAGCTGGTTACCAGAGCAATGCACCGTGTGTTGAAATGTTCAATAAATTTAACTTTGTTTAAACACAAGCAACATTATTTTGACTAGAACTAGTGTTCATAAACAGGATTTACGTATTATAGTAAAAATACTTTATCTTATAAACAAAAAGATTAACCTGAGCACAGCCTCAGTGTGGTAAGTAAATAAAGAAATACAGCTTATGTGGCAGGAAGGAAGCATAATAAGCACAAATTGTGGCACTTCTGTGGCAACACTGGGTCTTTTTGTTTCACTAAACATGAATCTTAAAGTCCTCTAATCTTTTTCTTGCTGTAGTTCACCGTCAGGAAATAGAGGGATTAACAGGGGAAGAGGAATTCTGGCCACAGGTGGATTAAAGTTGTCCCAGAATAGTGATCTTGTGATGTAGATCTTGACCTGCAGGTGATCCAAAGTAGACATGACTGTAATTGGAGACAATTGAGACTTCCACATGAATTATAAAAAAGAATTATAAACAGTACTGCTGTACTTTCACAGTTCAGTACCTGTGTTGTAGTGAACTACAAAAGGTTCCATAAAATTACAGGTTGCACTTAAAGTAAAAACTTTTTTTATATATATAATTCCTCATACTGACTACATTTGGATTTAGAGACAAAACAGGGGACATGCTGCTGTCCTATACCTGTACATTAAATACTACATCTTAAGTTATAGCACACCATTCACAAATTGCGTTGCAAGTAAGGAGTAATCGTCTAGTTTGAATTTATTATGTAGAGCACAACCGTATCTTCAAGTCCAGTGAACCAAATTGAACAATGAAATTTTAAAATGTATAGGGACCCTGGGGTACATACACAGACACTGACCTTTCTTATCAGTGAGAGCTGTGACCTACAAAACTAGTGAGCTTTGATGTCCTGAGTAATGAAAGTGGGCAGACAGGATAGGCACAGCGGGCCAAGGCAGAGATTAGGTGGTGTTTTGTTAGCAGTTCTAACACTGGAGCCCAGTGTGCAGCCATGACACTTGTTGTGTTTGCAGAGACACCCAGTTGGGTTAGCTTGATAAAGTGGAAGTAAATTGAAAGAGCAACCCAAAGCAGTGTGACTGGGCAAGCACAAAAGGTGAGACGAGTGGCTACTATCGTTCCAACGAACAGAGAGCGATGGGTGGAGAGAGACAAAATGTAATTTACAAATCCATTTTTATCTAAAGTTACCTCTGGTCGTAGTCCAAGGCATGGAAAAAAAATACATCCAGCCTTTCCCAGGAACTGAAAATAAAACATTTAAATTCGTACGCAAAAATGTAACAGTAAAGAAAGACAGTATTTCAGTGATTTGATGTGTACGTGACTGTGGACACAGTTTACCCCAGTTCTGTGTTGTCAGCACAAACTCTGTTAGACAAACACTTAATTACTCATCAATTAACGACAGTCTCAAAGGCCCCTTTTAATTTGTTTAAAAAGTGTTTGGAAATATGCAACACTAAAATACCATATAAGCTAAG